TTACAGCCACAATTGCATTTATTTGTCCATCCTGTTGTTACTTTTCTTGTTATACACAAACTGACAGATGTGTTGATGTTTCAATAAATTTACGCACAAAACAAAACAACTCCGATGAATATATTCAACACTCTAATAATGATACAAAAATATATTATTAGAACTGTTTGTTTATATAGAAGGCAAGATTACAGACATAAAGTAAAGATAATAAAAGTGGAAATGTAGTTTCATACATTGATTTAAGTACTTGACTTTCAAAAGGACTTCAGTTCGAGTCTCGCTCCATCTACTTCATAGTTTGGCCAACTGAATAGCAGTATTATTACCTCTCTCTCTCTCTTTCACACACAATAAGTGTGACACGTAGCCCATTACTCAGGGTGCTATTATTCCCTTGGGTTCCGAATGAAAAATAGGGCTTCAACAATACATCTCCACTTTGTCCTTTTCTTTGTAATCCTCCTCACAACTGATCCTAGTACTGCCCCCGTCAGTCTTTCATATCCTACTCATACGATCTCCTCCATGTCACCCCTTTCGGGTCGACATTCAACTCACCGTTTCCCAACGGTGAAGTTCCACTCGTCCGATGGATGGCCTGACGCTCAATGTTATTCGACGGTCTCCTCTGCACATGTCCGATTCATTTCCATTTTCTTCGGTATATTGTTGTTTAGCAACACATTTTTGGTTAGTTTGTTCTCAGAGTTTCTTGTTTCTGATTCTTTCCAACCAGCTGGCCATCTGATCTTCAGTATGGATCCAGCAAAGTGGACAATTGTTGATAAAAGTGTGCAGTAGCCTAGCCTATTGGAAATGGCTTTCGTGACTGACATGCCGAATTTCTGACTAATATTATAGAAGAAGTGACTCACTTAATGTTGGTGTTGAAAAACCAAATCTTGTTCTTTAGTCTGTGGAGTACAAGCGGCTTTCTTAATGACATCTTTATTACTTCTCCTATCCTACTTTTGAGATCCCCATCTTTGCTACCTGCCTACAATTGAAACGACACCGCCTAGATAAGTGAAAGCAATAAGCTCTTTCAGATTTCTTTCGTTGATAGTGATAATAATAATAATTTGCTTTATTCCAAAACAGTACTTGTGATACAGAATGGAAGTCTCAGCATTTTACTACAGTATTGCATTCAGTTAGTATATTATCAATAAAATAAAATTCTACATAGATTATGGGTAGTCTCAGCTAATTTTGACAACAACATACCAGCATGTCGGTAGCAAAGCCAAAATTGAACAGAATGTTTGAAGGTGTTAGAAAAGTAGATACTACTAGCATATTTACTGGCGCAAGTGGTAACAAAAAGATCGAGATATACAGAGTGTGAAAGAACGAAGAAGAATGTTATAAATCAAAAATAATAATAATTTGCTTTATTCCAAAACAGTACTTGTGATACAGAATGGAAGTCTCAGCATTTTACTACAGTATTGCATTCAGTTAGTATATTATCAATAAAATAAAATTCTACATAGATTATGGGTAGTCTCAGCTAATTTTGACAACAACATACCAGCATGTCGGTAGCAAAGCCAAAATTGAACAGAATGTTTGAAGGTGTTAGAAAAGTAGATACTACTAGCATATTTACTGGCGCAAGTGGTAACAAAAAGATCGAGATATACAGAGTGTGAAAGAACGAAGAAGAATGTTATAAATCAAAAATAATAATAATTTGCTTTATTCCAAAACAGTACTTGTGATACAGAATGGAAGTCTCAGCATTTTACTACAGTATTGCATTCAGTTAGTATATTATCAATAAAATAAAATTCTACATAGATTATGGGTAGTCTCAGCTAATTTTGACAACAACATACCAGCATGTCGGTAGCAAAGCCAAAATTGAACAGAATGTTTGAAGGTGTTAGAAAAGTAGATACTACTAGCATATTTACTGGCGCAAGTGGTAACAAAAAGATCGAGATATACAGAGTGTGAAAGAACGAAGAAGAATGTTATAAATCAAAAATAATAATAATTTGCTTTATTCCAAAACAGTACTTGTGATACAGAATGGAAGTCTCAGCATTTTACTACAGTATTGCATTCAGTTAGTATATTATCAATAAAATAAAATTCTACATAGATTATGGGTAGTCTCAGCTAATTTTGACAACAACATACCAGCATGTCGGTAGCAAAGCCAAAATTGAACAGAGTGTTTGAAGGTGTTAGAAAAAGTAGATACTACTAGCATATTTACTGGCGCAAGTGGTAACAAAAAGATCGAGATATACAGAGTGTGAAAGAACGAAGAAGAATGTTATAAATCAAAAATAATAATAATTTGCTTTATTCCAAAACAGTACTTGTGATACAGAATGGAAGTCTCAGCATTTTACTACAGTATTGCATTCAGTTAGTATATTATCAATAAAATAAAATTCTACATAGATTATGGGTAGTCTCAGCTAATTTTGACAACAACATACCAGCATGTCGGTAGCAAAGCCAAAATTGAACAGAATGTTTGAAGGTGTTAGAAAAGTAGATACTACTAGCATATTTACTGGCGCAAGTGGTAACAAAAAGATCGAGATATACAGAGTGTGAAAGAACGAAGAAGAATGTTATAAATCAAAAATAATAATAATTTGCTTTATTCCAAAACAGTACTTGTGATACAGAATGGAAGTCTCAGCATTTTACTACAGTATTGCATTCAGTTAGTATATTATCAATAAAATAAAATTCTACATAGATTATGGGTAGTCTCAGCTAATTTTGACAACAACATACCAGCATGTCGGTAGCAAAGCCAAAATTGAACAGAATGTTTGAAGGTGTTAGAAAAGTAGATACTACTAGCATATTTACTGGCGCAAGTGGTAACAAAAAGATCGAGATATACAGAGTGTGAAAGAACGAAGAAGAATGTTATAAATCAAAAATAATAATAATTTGCTTTATTCCAAAACAGTACTTGTGATACAGAATGGAAGTCTCAGCATTTTACTACAGTATTGCATTCAGTTAGTATATTATCAATAAAATAAAATTCTACATAGATTATGGGTAGTCTCAGCTAATTTTGACAACAACATACCAGCATGTCGGTAGCAAAGCCAAAATTGAACAGAATGTTTGAAGGTGTTAGAAAAGTAGATACTACTAGCATATTTACTGGCGCAAGTGGTAACAAAAAGATCGAGATATACAGAGTGTGAAAGAACGAAGAAGAATGTTATAAATCAAAAATAATAATAATTTGCTTTATTCCAAAACAGTACTTGTGATACAGAATGGAAGTCTCAGCATTTTACTACAGTATTGCATTCAGTTAGTATATTATCAATAAAATAAAATTCTACATAGATTAAGTGTCTGTCTGTCTGTCTGGATTCAACATAGAACTTGGCACCGAAGTGCAGCAGTTCGAGTTGCCACGTTCCAAATAGCACACAAAGGTAGACAAGAAGATGAGTGAAGAGAATCAATAGAGTTTGACAAGTATAAGAGCGAAACTGAATGGGTAATGGTAGAAAAAATATGAAAGATTACAGAGACTGAATACATCTGCGCCACTGACAACGATTTTGAGCCATGTCACCTATTGTCTCCAGCCATTGATTCCTAGAGTCCCGAGGCCCCCAACCCGGGAGTCTGCATCTCCCTACCTGACTCAGTTTAACTGTCAAGGATTTCATGGATTGATGAGGCCATGTTTTTGTTTGGCCACCACTGGCTCTTTTCCAGCCTGCACCACCTATATCAGCTAGCAATGCCCGTCGGGGGAGGCGGTGGTTAGGCATGCGCAGCACGTGACCTAGCCATCTTAGTCTATGTAACTTTATAGCCTCGTCGATTGATTTTCCCTCTTTACCCAACACTCTACGCCTAACGTCAACATTAAGTGTAATCTCAGTTAGCTATGACAACAAAATATTGGCATGTTGGTAACAAAGTCAGAATTGAACAGTGTTTGAAAAGTAGATGCTAGCATATTCACTGGCGTAAGTGTTAACATAATGGTCGAGATATACAGAGTGTGAAAGAACGAAGAAGAATGTTTTAAATAGAGTTTGTAAGGAAGAAAGAAACAAAGCAGCACATAACAGAGAAAAGAAAAGAGAAAAGGAAAGGAAAGAAAGAAAACGTTGTACCTATAAATGATATGAGTTGGAAAGACGAGATTCAGTTGTTCTACTGACTATTTAATAAGTTATAGGTATCACGCCTAATACTTTCTTTATCGCACAGAACACGAGCTAAGTGGGGTATGGTTGAGTTTTTGTACTTGCTAGTGCGACATTATGGTTTTCTATATAGGCTTCTGGTTTTGCCTGATGCGATACAAGGGGAGAGTTGTGAATGAAGAGGGTGGTGTGAGTTAGATAGATAAAATGAATTTAGCCCATTTTTCACATGAGTCCAAGTGCCTGTCGACCAGAATATTAACAAGCTGGTTGGTTAAGTGGCACGTTGCTTACCCTGCTGACAGGTGCTTGTTATTGCTTGGTCAGTTACCTTTATCACTCCCGTATTCTTTATGTTCACTTGAAGTTCTGTCTTTGCTGACAGCCTGCTTCTTAAGACAGTTTGTTAGTTTTTGCCTGGAAGTCTTCGAGTTTGTGCGTGTGACATTAGACATGAATCATCCGTGAAGTCCAAGTATTCTAGAGACTTCTTATCGGTCTCACTGTCCCTGTTTTCTCGCTCCCCAAACACTGTGTGCTACATATTTTCAGTCCACCGGAAATAGAAACATCATCGGTGATAGTGGTCAGCCTTATCTAACTCCTGTATTCACTTCAAAGATAGGCTTCTGATAGGATCCCACATATTTTGGTATTGACTGTTTAAACTTGCATATATGGTATGTTATCATTCTCACACATTTTGGTATTGACTGCTAATTTTGTATATTATCATTCTCACGCATTTTGGTAGTGACTGCTAATTTTGTATATATGGTATATTATCATTCTCACACATTTTGGTATTGACTGCTAATTTTGTATATTATCATTCTCACACATTTTGTTACTGACTGTCAACCTCGCACATATGGTATATTATCATCTCTCACGCACTTTGTTATTGGCTATTAAGATAAATTATTTCAAATGCTGTTAGCTGTCCATATTGTTGTAAAATGTATAAATACCATGGCTTTCTTTATCGTTGTTGCACCTCAATACACAGTCACAGTCCAGCCTTTGTCTTTTGATATTTGCGTGCTTTACTAAGTCGGAAGGTACGACGAGCAGATAGACAGATTAGTTCAGGCGCAGACAGAATAAGGTGAAAACGTCTTCATTCAATTCCCTACAGTTATAACAAATTGGCGACGGGGTTTACCTTAATTCAGTGCAGTTATAACAATTGGCGACGGGGATTTACTTTAATTCATCGCAGTTATAGCAAGCAAACGACGACAGTTTTTATTCTGTTCAGCGCAACTATATAACATTTTTGACTGTGTTAATTACAACCCAATTATAATGTCTATCTCTCTGGACGATCTTCCGGTGACTGCAGTTGAGGTTGCCAGACACACACTGCGTGATCCAGTTTTACAGCAAGTATCAAAGTTCATCCGATTTGGCTGGCCTCCACATGTTCATTCAAATGTTTTAAAACAGTTTTACCAGCGACGCCAATCCCTATCCATCGTTAATGGATGCATAATGTTTGCTGATCGTGTTGTGGTTCCAGCTAATCTTCGTGACCATGTGCTTCGGCAGCTTCATATATCACATCCTGGTGTTGGGAGAATGAAGGCGATCGCTCGCAGTTATGTTTACTGGCCCAACATCGATGACCATATCGAAGACCTCGTTCGCAAGTGTAGTAAATGTGCTCAAGCATCAAAGTGTCCACGCAAGACAGAACTATGTTCCTGGCCACGACCGGACAAACCATGGTCCCGTGTTCATGTTGACTTCGCTGGACCGTTCAATAGTATGCATTTCTTAATATGTGTCGACGCGTTTTCCAAATGGCCAGAGATATTTCCTATGCATTCTGCCACATCAATTGCAACAGTGTCCCACCTACGTCAACTATTCTGTCGTTTTGGTATGCCTGATGTTCTGGTGTCCGATAATGGATCGCAGTTCACCTCATCACTGTTCTCAGATTTCTGCAAACTGTTTGGCATCCAGCATATTCGTAGCCCCCCGTATCATCCCCAATCGAATGGACAGACTGAACGTTTCGTCGACACCTTTAAGCGTGCTTATGCAAAAGCGAAGGGGGAGGGAACAACAGAAAAAATTTTGGATAAATTCTTGCTGCATTATCGTACGAATGAAAAAGGACAGTTATGTGGCAGACACACAGATCACGCTCTATCCAGTACCACGCAAAGGTCAACTCGACAAAGAAGAGCTCCGAAACCTTTTCAAATAGATCCAAAAAGCAAGTCCTACACTCTTTACGGGGGGAGGTGATAGGATCCCACATATTTTGGTATTGACTGTTTAAACTTGCATATATGGTATGTTATCATTCTCACACATTTTGGTATTGACTGCTAATTTTGTATATTATCATTCTCACGCATTTTGGTAGTGACTGCTAATTTTGTATATATGGTATATTATCATTCTCACACATTTTGTTGTATATTATCATTCTCACACATTTTGTTACTGACTGTCAACCTCGCACATATGGTATATTATCATCTCTCACGCACTTTGTTATTGGCTATTAAGATAAATTATTTCAAATGCTGTTAGCTGTCCATATTGTTGTAAAATGTATAAATACCATGGCTTTCTTTATCGTTGTTGCACCTCAATACACAGTCACAGTCCAGCCTTTGTCTTTTGATATTTGCGTGCTTTACTAAGTCGGAAGGTACGACGAGCAGATAGACAGATTAGTTCAGGCGCAGACAGAATAAGGTGAAAACGTCTTCATTCAATCCCCTACAGTTATAACAAATTGGCGACGGAGTTTACCTTAATTCAGTGCAGCTATAACAGCTTCACTGAGTTTTCTGTTGCGGATCACTTGGCATATGGGATTGCTATACAGTTGTTGAATGCGACTACTGATAAAGACTTGGGGTAATACACTCTGTAGTATTGAGTTAGTTTCCAAATTACTTCGCGGTCAACGCTGTCGAAGTCTTCTGCAAAGTCGATGAGGATGAGGTAGAAGTTTGACTGCCATACATTGTGTTACTATATGATTCACGCATAATTTGCTTTCCCTGAATCCAGCTTGTTCCGGTTGGCGGAGTTCTGCATCCAGTGCATCTTTAAGTCTCTCCAGGATAATGCAACAGTACTCAAGGTAACACCAATATACAATGACAACGGTATAAAAGTCATCTATAAGTAACTTTTTTATTAGTTTTCTTAACGGAGAGCTTCAATAGTTCATAGACAGGAATATTTGTCAGCCATGCGGGTAGTTTGGGTTCGACTCCCTTCAAAATACTCTTAAAACCTATTCCTAGCCTACTAGCTGAAAGTAAGTCCAGAAAAATAGAAAAGGTAAGATATGTAAAGCTAGCAATCCCAAACAGTGGGCAAGAGAGACAACCCCACCTATACTGAAATTTCAAATATACTTGAAGCATTTTTGATGTGATTGTGTTCTCTGAGCTAGCTGGATAGTTAGTTAATTTGCGAAGCTTTCATCGCCCCACCACTAGCCAACATCTCCAGCGAATACTTCAGTTCGATGAAGTGAGCTTTTAGATTTCTCCATGGGGTTATTAATCATCCTTCGTAGTGGGTGGTCAGCTTGACCGTGATTGTTTGTTTTTGTGTGTTTTCACACCTTCTAGGCGGCTACTTGTATTGTAACTGATTGTTTCTTTCACTTGAACTTTGACCCTTTGTGTGTGTGTGTGTGTATGTGAGGTTTCTTTCTTATCGACTGGAAAATTTTGTCTATCTAGATGTGTCTATTGATTGATGATTCACTGGAATACCAGTCAGGCTTCTAATAATTCTCTGGCTGGCATTCTTGTTGATTCCTCTGTCTAATATTTGAACGTTGGTTGTTCCAGTCGAATTGATGTCCGTGGTTGTCTGTTTGCTGTGAGCCGATATGAAGGAGTGTATGTCATGTCCTTTGATAGCTAGTTTATATTCATGGATACGAAGAAGAAGAAGAAGAGGACATTCACTTTGACCAATGTAGTTAGCGTTTTTCGCAGTTGTTACAATTTATTTTGTAGATGATGTTGGTATTTTATCTACTTTCGCTGTTTAGTCTTTTGTTTGACATAGTACCAGCTGAGTGAAGTGATTTTCTTGGTATTTATGTGGGTGATGTCAATTCCTAAATGTTTGAAGAGTCTTGTAGTGATTTCTGAGATATCCTTTATATATATATGGTAAGGCGATTTTCTTTGAAAAGTTCAAGTCAAGCAAGCAATCAGTTCCAATACAAGTAGCCGCCTAGAAGGTGTGAAAACACACAAAACACAACGAATCACGATATTCAAGGTCACCCACCAGGAGAGATGACCAATAAACTCGTGGAGAAATCTAAAAGTTCACTTCAATTCAAATTGAAGTATGCGCTGAAGGAAGATGTTGTCTAGTAGGGGGCTGGCTATCCAGGTAGTTCAGAGAACACAATCACATCAAAATCATCATCCACCTGAGCCACAAATCTTCTCTACCCCATATACTTGAAGTATTCCAAAAAATCAAAAGATTAAAACACAACCGCTTATTTATATCGACGATTTTTTATTACTATACAATAAACTAGAGGAGGCTGTTTTCCGAAGAATTGAAAAAGAATCCAGTAGAAAGTTCATCATCATTTTCTCTTCTTGTGATAATGAAGATGACGACGATGTTGATGTTAACAAATTCTCACTATCTGATTTAAAATTTTTCAGCGAGGTTAATAATTTCTGAGAATAAAAAGAGGACAAAAAGAAAAAGAAAAAATTAAGGATTTATTAGATAGAAATATAGAGGACTATAAAGTAATTCGATTTAGAAGAATAAAAAATAACTATTATAAATTATTTAAATTAATCCCAGTGTGTTAAGAAAATCAAAACAAGATCTGTTTTCTGAACGTTTCTCTGTGTAAGCCACAGCCTCTTCAGCTGATTTATTCGGAGTTTTATTAATCATCAAAATATGCAGTCAAAAGATTTTTTTTACATGAATTGAAGTCAGTTTATTTGAACGTTATTTGTCCATGGACATTTTTACCAATAGAAATATGTAAGCAGTCCTCACATATATTTGTAATGACAATGTCAAATTACAGCTGTCCAGTACTCCACTTGTGGTTTTCCAGTGGTTCTCTAACTGATGTCAGCTCATGATGAAATCCTCTATGCAATTAAACAAAAAATCCCTACAAAACCAAAACCTAATAATGTCAAAAGGTTGTTGTGCATTCTCTCCTATAGTTGATTTGTAAAGATTAGATTTGTATGCGTGCGTGTGTATGAATGTTATTTGTCATATGGAAAATACGTGAACTCACATGTGATAAACATGATACTACATGGGCCACGAGAGCCACCTCTTGTGCAACGGGTCATATTAATTATTGAATTGAATTTTTGATTTTCCCGTCGATTGATTGGACCGAAGTGCTCGGTCTCAGGTTGACATGTCGGCTTCTTGTGCAGATGCTTCGACGATGTCCGGGCATTTAGTTAGTATACAATTGGTGGAGACGGTGGCTAGCAGTGGAATCCAGGATGCGCATTTCGTCCTATTTGGGACTCGTCAGGTGGATGTACCTGAATTTCTCAGTGAGTGATGATGTTCCCACCGAGGCTCGAACCCAGTACCCATAGTTTTCAAACGCTAAAGCGTCCTGAAGCATCATCGAGTGTTTGTTGTTTTTTCACTTGTCTTGCTTCATATATTTTGATGATTCATGAAAATCCCAATAAATTTGCTGAAGAAGCTGTGGCTTACACAGCTGAACGTTCGGGAAACAGATCTTGTTTTAATTTTCTTAAACACGCTGGGATTAATTTAAATTTTTCTATTATTTTTATTTTTGATTACAGCTTGATTCCACACCGTATTTTTGGTACAAGTATGGAATTTTTAAGCATGGATATCGGTGGCCCAAATTTTGCAGGTCGACCATAGATATCAGGTGTGCGTCGACACGGGATCGAACCTCGGACCATGTGCATGTTCGGCGAGAGTCCTAACCACTGTGCCACCGACGCTCAAAAGATTCCAGGAAGTTCGTAACACTTACGGTCTGGAAACTTATAATCTTAATAAAAAAAGAACCCTTAGACAACTGAGGACTACGAATCACTGATATAAAAAACCAAAAATGATGAGTCTTCAGTTTGAAGAGGTTTATTTTCAATGAATTCACTGATTATTCCATCTCAACAAACGCCTCCTTCTTCAAAGTAATCTACAGAGTTAAGAATAACCTAACAAAGGTGCTACGGCTTCGTCTTCTTTGTATCTCTGAAGCTCTCTCTGGCTATTCACAAAGAAAAACCGGAGCTGTGCATAGAAAAGAGAATTACTCAACTATTTCTACTGTTATGGTAACAACTTTTTGATTTTTGATGACTTAATTTTGTTTCTTTGCCTGTTCTTCAATTGCTTTTGATTCTTGTACTCTCATTTAGAACTCTTACGTAATTTCGTATACTCTCCTTTCTTCCTATGTGTATCCTGAGTGAAACTCACTGATCAAACTATTCATATTATTACATAACTTCCTTTTAATAACTGTTTTTGACAACTCACCATCTTTGTTACTACCCTAATTTCATAACACCTAATTTTCTTGACTGATTTTGTATTACGTAACTCCAATTACCAATCTTCACCTGTTTACTTAAAATAACCATAACCAATTGTAATTTTGTTTGACAAACTTAATGTACACATGCATACAAAATAACTCATAGATATATATTTGCGATTGTATAGTTAAGAAAATGAATTCGCAATCGTAAAAAGAGACTCTTCGCTGAACACTACGTGTTTTGTTTTCATGAATTCATTTACCTCTTTAGCTGTAAAACAAAATTCCATTTGTATACAATTATTCCTTTTTCCCACAAAAGGGAGAGGTGTTTTCATAATCATAGTTACTAAAAAATATTAGCACAGATGAAGAAGTTGCATACCACCAGCTAGCTAGCCAGTGTACCGAGGCGTCGCGAGCTAAACACACCGGACAACTGTTTCGCTTGTGTTTGGGTACGATCTCATCAGAAGCGGTGTACGCGGTTTGACTCAGATTAGACAGAGAGAGATGGCTGCATCAGTTAAAAACACCCGGCTACTTGGACGAACTCGTGATAAATCAAATTCCCATTGGTAATCTACACAGTTCGAGTGGTGGAATTTCTCTTAGAAACCGAGTTATTCTGATCGCTACAATATGTGATGATCTGGTCAGTGATACTATAATTGGTAATCAAGAAAGCAGCAAATTTGCATGAGACTATTATACTACTGGCTGGTTGAAATCAGTAGTTGCATATACCACTCTAGGTAGGCAGATCGAGGTAATTTAAGCAACACCAAAGGGTTCTTGTTCGCTCACAGACGACATAATTTCCCATTTGAATAACTTGATTACCAAAGTAAACTATGGTGAAACTCATATATCTTTCCAAACCAAGTTCACTTTTAACAGTTTGAAAAAATTTCGGCATTGAGTATATGATATTAGAGATTTCTTCAAAACATTAGACACACACGACCTTGTCCATATAAAAGACCATATCCCGAAGGATTCTCTATCTAATTGTGTCTATAAAATAAATACTTGGGAGGTGATGAGATACACATCGGACAACATCACCAGAGAGAAACCAAGTAATCAGAAGAAATGAACACCGTAGAGCCGCATCTGTTCGACCACCGAGAAATCCAGTTGAACTAGATGAGCTTGAAAAATCATCAGCTATAGAATCAGGCCACAAAATTTAATTTTGACAATATTGAAATCATCATCATCCAGAAGAAGCATTTCAGAAATCACAAAGAACGTCTCACATCATTAGAAGCACTTCATATCAAGTGGAATCCAGATTGTCTGAACTGAATAAGAATGATGGAGTAAAACAGAATCTGACCTGGTTACAACACCTCCCTCCCCTTCCTTCATGAAGTGACGAAATCCACACGAATGTGATAAGCAAATTGACTATGTCTGCACAAGCTGCTTTTATAATTTTACACACTAATCAAATTCAACAATCGACACACACTTGGTTTTGTTATCTTTACCAATGACCAAATTGACAACGAAAAATCACTCTAGACTGACGAACGATGATCAACTTATAATAAAGATTTTTGTATTTCCCAATGAATGGAAAACAAAACGATATTGTTTGGTTTACTGACGTTTCGCTATTCAATGCTGCTGCTAATAGCTTTATCAAAGTATTATTATTTCAAACCGTTAAAAGTGAACTTGGTTTGGACATATATGGAGATCAACTTGGTAAACTTTATTTTGATATCATAACAGAAGTACTATTACTACCTTTGTTATTTGGTTTAGTGATTGATCTTCATTGTTATTTTGACTTTCAATATGTCCCTTTAACTTGACCTAACTTGTCTATTTTTTCACCCCCTAACTCTTCGTTATATATAAGCTGAGTGAATTTTGTAAATTCCTGTTTAATAATACTTTGATAAAGCTATTAGGGGCAGCATTAAATAGAGAAACGTCAGTAAAAACAACAATATCGTTTTGTTTTTCATCCATTGGGAAATACAGAAAAAACCCTTTATCATATGGTGAAAATTCACTATTTGAACTGTGTACACTGAAAACTGCTTGCTAATTCGAGTTACTAATAATAATCCTTTACCTACCTGGGAAGCATCGTTTCAACTACACGCGGACGGAACTGACGAGGATATCAAAGCAACGAGGATCGGGAAAGCAAACCAAGCTTTCATTACTCTCAAATCTGTGTGGAGATCAGCAGAACTCCGCATGAAAATGAAAATAACATCCGGATTTTCAACTCCAATGTGAAGTCAGTGCTACTCGCTATACGAATTAGAGACTTAGCGCGTCTTAAAGAACACCTCAAACAAACTACAGACCTTCATTATCAGCTGCCTTCGCTCAATATTTAAGATCAGATGGCCGGCCAAAGAAGACCAGCAACAGGGATCTCTGGGAGAGAACCAACCAGGAACCGATTGTGCAACAAATAAGCAGGAAGAAATGGAGATGGATTGGCCATACTCTGAGGAAACCTTCACTAGACAAGCCCCTAAGTGGAACTCGAAAGGGAAGCGGCGAGTTTGTCGCCAGTGCGAGGGTGACTTGGAGGAGGTCATGTGAAGAGGAGATGAAAGCATGTGGGCAGGTGTGGAGCCAGGTGAAAACTCTAGCAGAGAACCGAACGCAATGGAGACGCTCGACTTAAGCTCTATGTTCCTCTAGCAATTAAATGAAATAATTATAATCAATACACAAGAGAAGTTGGACAAGAGTGTTAAAGGAGTTAGATAAGATACATAAAATGCCCATAGAAGCCGAAAGGAGAGGTGATATTACGAGGTCAGTGTTAGGAAACAAAAATAAATAAACTTGGTTAAAAAAAAAGCACGATCATTACATTGATAGAGCAGAAATTTTTGGCGCCGAAATGTTTGGTATCTCTTAAAAAAAAGTGGCCCAGCTTGTAGCCCAAGTGGCCTATTGGGTTTGAAAAAACGAGCATTGAGTTGTTGTCTCAGTGGGAACACCATCACTCACTGCAGAATGAAGATACATACTCTAGATGAAGAGTCCTAGATAGGACGTAATGTTCATCCTGGATTTCACTGTTAGTCACCCTCCACCAAGATTACTTCAACATATTGAAAGTGATATTCAAATATTGGTTTGTAGGGATTTGGTTGATTGGTTACAGGATTTCACCATGTGCTGACATTGGTTAGAGAGCTATTGGAAAACCTAGGAGTACAGGACAACTAGCTGTTCCGTCCTAGTTTGGGAGTTTTCATCAGTATGCATCCACTGCTACGGTTCGAACCCAGGACCTGCTGATTACAAGGCCAGCTAGCTGGTAGGCCATTAAGCCACTGGGACCCGATCCAATGGCCAGTCCATGAATTCCAACTTCCGCCAATTCACGATGTAGTGCAACCGCTAGCCGATGTCTTCAACGAGTATTTGTCCTGACACCCGACCTGCTGCACCCTACTGGTCATGACTTCCTGTAGCCAATATTGGAAGTGACTTAATAATCGTATTTTCGGTAAATCATCATTACACAGAAAAGAAAAGCAGCAGCCTTCTTTGGATTTCATGGTTTTGATTAAGTAGCAGAATTATTCATTCCCACTTTTTTTAACCACCTCATCCCACCCCACCTCCTCAAAAAAGAAGGCTTCTTCAATTTTGGATAAATGCTTACCTTTAAAATACAGCATTCCAGTCGAAGTTGCTCAACACTTGGTTTTAAAGTTTCCATTGGATTATTCTATACGAAGAAACAATAAAAAAAGAATACCAAAAGCATGAAAATAGACAATCAATCAATCAATAAATAAATATTTATGTATGAATATACATTTACAGTCCCTCCTCCATAAACGACCTAGTACGGCCAAGGGTTATTACATAAACTTCGGTCTTTCTTACGAAATGTTTCCATGTGACCGCGCGTTCATAGCCTCTTTTAAGAAGCCACACAGATACAGGCCCGGAACTGTCGCCCTGAGTGAAATCGGACGATACCAGAAAAGCACAGAAATGTTGATCCGCAAATCACCTTTCCAACTTCTCGTTCGTAAAATCGCTCAGGACTTCAAAACTGACTTGCATTTCCAGGGCTCACCAGCTTTGCTCTGCAAGAAGCCAGTGAAGCCTACTTGGTTGGTCTTTTCAAAGACACCAACTTGTGTGTCATCCATGTCAAGCGTGTTACCATAATGTCAAAGGACATCCAATTGGCTCGTTGCATTCGTTGTGAGTGTGCTTAGATGTTTGTTGGTTAAGTTCCCAGAGACGATGACTTTACAAAGTGCCACTCACCACAATGCCAGCATGGTGATGGTAGGGTCTTCTTGGAAATATTTTATAAGGTTGTACCAGTAAATGTAGGTTTAAGCGGAACATTAGGAGGTGGGTCAGGACTGGATAATGAAGGGAGATTTTTGCTCTTTCGTAATGCACGAATGTCAGAGCTTCTCGAAGTTGTTGATTCGATCAGATGCGTGTTCTTCTGCAAATTAATCAGCCGTTAATATTCATCAGCTATATCATGAAGTGTTAACTTTGGATTTTGTTCTAGCTGATTGAGAAGTCGTGTTCGGATATCTGTGAAACGAGGAGATTGAAGACTGCATATGAGAATCAAGGCTTTGAACTGATCATCTGTTAAGGACCCGAGTCGAAAATTTTCACATTCTCTGTTGACTGTGCCAAAATGAGTAAGGAAATCATCGTATTCATTCATCGTCAGCTTGAGGCAACGATTCCGTATGCTGAATATTGAGGAGTGGTCTTCAAAATGCTCACTCAGAATATTTATTGAGTCGTCGAAACAGTTGTCACGTGGCTTTTGAGGTACAGTACCTTTCATATTCTGCAGGACCCAATTTACGTAGTAGCAATCGTACCTTCCAGGCAGCGTCCTGCGAGGCAAGATCAAATCTTCATAGCGCTGATACTATGTGTCGAAAGTGACATTAGCATCCTAGTCATAGTTGAATTAAGTAATACTATTCACAATCCCGTCGACAGATGGTGCCATGGCATAATTCGGAGTGCTTGACCGGTGAAGGTGAACCAGTCTGTTTTTTGATAAGCATTTCCATTATTCTCATTTGTTGCTCAAGTAATAATTCCAATTTTATAGGATCCATAGTTCTCCGGTCGCCAATAAGTTATGGGGCCGTTGCCGATATTATGGTGTGATCGATGTAAATATGCGCTAATGAGATATAACGGACGATAACGTACAGACTGATATTGCTGAATAGTCAATTTGTCCTGACGCGAAGGAGGAAATCAGAAGACCACAACGTTCACGAAGATACGTGTATTTTCCAACGAGGAAAATTGACTGTCACACAAGAGTGTGGTGAAAAAGTACTAAAGAGTACGAATGGTGTGAAAAAGCGTAAATTAACTGTACAATACAAGAGTATATATGAAAATGACTAACATACATGAACCAATAAGATAGACAGTAGTTTTTCTTACCGCCAAGGCCTGGGAGTGTTCCTCAGAAAAGTCAAAGGTTGAATTCCAATGTCAGACTGGTGGATATACAAGCCAAACTAGGCGAGCTGGATGACTCCTATCCCAAACATGTGGTATACATCAGCTCCAGAATCCAAAAAAGGATCAAATGGCATATGAACTTATTTTGGTCACCAAAAACCATGAAAGCCTAACACTCCTGACGCTTTTCCACTGTTTTTGAGGATAAAACTTCAAGTCAAAGGCTTGGGTGTATAGTCCCGCCACCTGCTCCGATATGGACGCTTTGTGTGGGGCATCTCTCTTGGTGTCTATAATTTACCAAGTTTACATTCTGATAAATAAAATATACATATTTACAGCTTCACAGATCAATCCAATTAAACCTTAAAATGGTTCCTTCGCGGAATCACCAGCAAGAAATACTGTGAATTCAATGACATTGGCCAGTGGTTGCGCTATATTGTGAATTGGCAGAAGTTAGAGTTCATGGGCTAGCCATTTGGATTGGGTCCCAGCGGCTTAATGGTCTAAGAGTTCGCCTTGTAATCAAAAGGCGCTGGGTTCAAACCCCAGTGGGTATATACTGCTGAATAGTCCCAAACTAGGTCGAAACAGCTGTTCAGTACTCCCATGGCTCTCTAACCAGTGTCAGCTTATGATGAAATCCTGTAACCAATCAACAAAATCCCCACAAACCAATACTTGAATATCAATGTATTCCCCTAGTCTGTGTATTTAGTACATATGAGTTTTCATTAAGCGCATAAGCCTACACAGTGACGGATCCTGGTTCAAAATCCTACATGACATTTGATTTTGAACAGTTCATTTGTAGGGATTTAAGTTGTTTCAAGTTTGCTGACGGATTGCTATCAGTTAGGGAACTACTGAGAACCAGGGTTTACTTTACTAACTAATTGTTTCGTACTAGTTTGGGACTCTTCATCAGTGCACACCACACCAAGGTTCAAACCAAAGAGCTTCCAGTTACCAGGTAAGTTCATAGACAATTCAGACACCGGGACCTGACTCAGTGGCCATACCATCTGTCTGTTTTCGACATACAACTTTCCACCAATGTGCGGCAGTTCAACTCGCCATACTCCCTCCTTGTAGCACACAAACCAAGAGAAGAAAGTAGAAGAAATGCAAAATAGAGACAGTAAACAGAGGTGTGAGACAAAGGAGTAGTATTAACGAAGAACAATATAGCTTTATTGGAAATTATAAGTCACAAGGAGTGGATGCATCTGCGCTAGCCATTGACAACAATTTTGAGCCATGTCATCAATTGTTTCCAGTCTTCATTGGCTTTTACCGTCCCCAGGACCCCAACCACGAAGTCTACACCTTCCTACGTGACGGGCTTAAACTAACTGTTGTGAATTTCATTGACTGGTGAAGCCATGATATGGTTTGACCGCCGCTAGCTCTTTTCCAGCCTGACCCTATGTCAGCTAACAATGCCCGTTGTCGAGGAAGGCGATGGCTAGGCCTGCATGTGTAACACATGTCCTAACTATCTCAGCCAATGTAATTTCACGGTCTCGTCGATTGATTTCCCCTCCTACCTACCTAGCACTCGACGCCTAACCTCAATATTGCTCACCTTATTATATCACTTCACACGGGAGATAGAGCGCAGGCACTTATGATCAAACACAACTAATCTTTTCATATCTTCCACTCTCGATGGCTAGGTCTCGCAGTGATAAAGGAGGACGGAGTGGACTGATGAGCAGTACACTCGCCCTTTGGTCGAAAGACGGATATCACGTCGACCATGAATTCCAACTTCTGTTAATTTGTGACTTTAGCCCGACCATCAGCCAATGTCATCGGTGAGTATTTATCCTCACATTTGACCTGACACGACCTGATGTACCTCAGTGATCACGACTTGTCAATAAAAGAACTCCAAGCAACTTCGTGCTGCAGACAGTCACTAGCTAGCATCAGATTTGATTTTGAAGCTTACATTACCAAGCAAGACAGTGTCATTGTGTATACATGGAACGACAAATGACTGTTGTGGATATAAAGAGTCATTTTTGTTTTAACTGATAACACAATTTTATTGATTTACCAATCAATAAATAAATAAATACACAAGTAGGTGGAACAATACTATTTGAAGTTTAAAAAAAATACACGCAACTTAATCAACTCTAATTTAACCTGTAAGAAACATTAATTATGGTATTTTTAGAATAACTTATTCGGTAGTTAGTTTGTAGTATGTGGTGAGAGAAGAAACTGTCACCTGCACCGTTCCATTACTTCGAAAAAGGAGTTACCAGTGCTTTTATGTGTGTCAGTCAAATTTTTCTATGTATATGTATGAAAACGTTTACTGACAGTTCGCTTTATACTTCTGTTAAAGTTCTTTGGAAGTTGTTTGCAACAAGAAAAAAATCCAACTGGTTTCAATCTGATTGACAGTTTTTGTTTCAGCGTGTTACATCGCCTCGAATACAAGAAATGAGTCAAGGTGTGATGATAGACAAAGAAAGAAAGAGAGAGAGAGCAAACCAACTTCTCTTGATAGGCTAAATAAACAGTTTTCAATGTGAATTTAAAAAATGTTTCTTTTTTTACATAGTCAGAGACCTGTCTACATGAAACATTCATCTAATTAGAGTAATAGATTGTGTATCGTTCACTATGCTCATTATAATAAAGGTGTTTTTTGTATTTCCCAATGAATAAAGAAAAAAAAAAACGAAATTCCTGTCTTTACTGACGTTTCATGCTTATTTTAACTTTCATCGGGTGAAGACACATTGGTTAATTGACTGGCTTCCCGTAGGCTTCTTTCACCATGACGCGCCATCATCATTCCGGTCGATAACTGCTACCTTGATGGATTTTTTGATATCGTGTTTTGATTCGTCCTGCTTTAGTTGGACACAGATGGGAATTAAGGCTAGTTGTAGTTCAAAATGATGGAATTAATATTATAGAAGGAAATTTTGTACCAATTGAAGGCTTTGTTGAGTGAGTGCATTATCTGACATCTAATTCCAGGAGTTGGAAATGAAATTGTATATAATTTTAATTACAGAATTTTTTAAACTATATTACTCATTCATACAATCTCTACTGAGCCTATTATTTATGGGGCACTTCCAGATACTTATAAATCAATAACAGATCATATCATTGTATTACAATCTAATAAACATATACATTTAACTATATTTGGTAAACAAATGGATTATATTACTCATATATCATTTGCATCAATTAAAAAGCCACCAAATTCACCAT